TTTCTTGGTGTTTCGCTGTTCATTCTAAATAGTTTTTGTGCACTATCTGATCTACCGCCGATTTTACTTTAGGCCACAGGTCCAGCTCAGGCTTAGGCTCAGGCTTAGGCTTAGGCTTGCTTTCGGTTCGAATCCGTCAGCCGTCAGCTGAAATTTTGGAAAGAAACGTAAGTTAAAGTGTGATGTAAAGTCTTGTATTAGTAGGGGAACAATAAAAAAAAGGCATTAACAGCTTATAACAAACAAACTCTAACAACTGTATACATATTTTTTTGTGTGACAGATATAGAAGCTTAATTAAGAGAGTATAAAGTTGTTTTTTATAAGTTTGTTAAACCGAAAAGGGCCAAAAAACTGATGATCATGAGTAGAAAGACGAGGAATTTATTGTAAAATCTAAGATCTAAAAAAGAAAATGCTTCAAAATGATCGCACAGTCAAAAAGCTATTTAAAATTGAATTGAACATTGAACAAACTTATTTATTCGTGAACTTTTTTTCCTTACTGTGAAACTTTAGCAGATCTACTAGACTTTCAAGTTTAACTGAATGAATTAGTGTTAACATCTAAAAAACTGTGTGGTTCAATTCGCATTTCGGGATTGTTGCCGGGGAAAGCAAAAACTAAGATCTGTGTTTGTTCGGCTTCGTCACAATCGTCTCCTTCTTCGTTTTCACGAGAAATTCTCAACTCAAAAATGAAAGAAAGTAAAATTTCATGTAAATTTCATGCAAATTTCATGCAAATTTCATGTAAATACTCAGAGTTTATTGCCTTGTAAGACGATTGGTGATTGTTTTAGATGAGCAGATCCAAGTTTCGTGAAAAACATGAACGCTTTTTGGTGACCTCCGGTCGGGGTTCGAACCTGAAAAGAGCGATTTCTTACAAGGGAAGATCAACTGGAGAGGCTGACCAAATGGCATTGGCCATTGACTATTCGACGCAGAATTTCACGCTGAGCACTATGCTGCTTTCCATTTTTGCTAAACGGCATCCTGTCAAAAGTTATACTCGTTTAAAGTTTGTAAAGAGTTTCAAAAATCAAAAATAGCACTTTTCAGAGCCGGAAAAAGTGCACGGGTGGCCGAGTGGTAGTAGGTTAGAAAAAAAATGCAAGACTTGCCGGGTTTGAATCCGTCAGCCGACTCTTGTCTTACTTTTTCTAGGTTTAAATGGCTTTAAATGGATAGCTGACCTCCGCGTGGACTGATGAACAAGTTATACGCAATTTGATGTGAACGATCTGGTTGCTGCTTATCTATATTTGTGGTGTGTCAAATTTTGTACGATTGTGTGCGGAAATAATTGAACACACGAGGCATTTAAACCTAAAAAGCCGATTCGACTTGCGTTTTTTCGAGTTCGACCGATTCGAACCGGGCAGGTCTCGCTTGGGATTCTAAACTACTACCACTCAGCCAGCCCTGCACGTTTGCTGGCCTGAAAAGTCCGTTTTTAAGATCTATGTTTGATTTTTGAAACTCCTTACAAGCTTTAAATGCGTATAACTTTTGAGAGAGTGCTGTCATGTAAAAATGGAAAGCAACATCGTGCTGAAATTGGCCTATGGCTCATGACATCGAATGGCCTATGGCTCATGGCATCGAATGGCCTATGGCTCATGGCATCGAATGGCCTATGGCTATTGGCATCAAATGGCCTCTGGCTCATGGCATCAAATGGCCTCTGGCTCATGGCATCAAATGGCCTATGGCTCATGACATCGAATGGCCTATGGCTCATGGCCAGTCTATTCAGTTGACCGTCCCTTGTTAGTAACAATAGATATGGGTCGGAATCTAAGTTCCATAAGCTCCAGTTCTATCAACAAGCTCCAATTTCGAAACTGAATCTAGCTTTTGAGCCCAGACACTCCCCGGATTCAGATGTTTTTTTCTACAATCCGATCACTAAATTCACCTTCATCACGTCGGGCGTCATGGTAAGTAGTGGCTTGTTACTCGGCGAGATACCTAGCCACGGATGGACGCCCATCGAATGGCATTGAGCGAGCACATCGGTAAAGACAATGTCCCTAAAGTTGAACTTTGTAGCGATAAAACACATATTTAATGGAACCATAAATAACAGAAAATTGGTCTTTAAGTTGCCCACTGAAATTTGCGGCCTCGATACTGTTCGACGGTATACATACTGGTGAGCATTCCGTTGTGCTGATGCGGTTGATTGACAACATTTGAAAAAGCTTTTTACCTCAAGAAAGAGAAAACAAGCCGGCAAATTTGTCCTCTTGTCAATCAGTGCCGCACTGGCGAGCCGCGAAAGGCGATACCGGAAATCAAAAATGTAAAGCTTAGAGATTGAGAGGAGATCTGATTGAGATTGAGATCTGATTGAGATCAGAGATTAAGCTATAGGCCCAAATTTTTGAATTCACTGATTTATTTTCAAAAACGACTCACTTTAAGGCTTCTGCTTCGTCCGAGGCTGCGTAAGGCCAATGATGCAAAACAAAGTCGACATCTTCGGCTCTCAGTGGACCGAGAGTGAACCTTAAAGTGATCAAATCATTTCTTTATGCATGAAGATACAGTCCGTAGCACATCATCTGGATCACCGCCTAACTACCGATCCTAGATTTTGAGCCCAGACACTCCCCGGATTCAGATGCTTTTCCCTACAATCCGATCACCAAATTCACCTTCATCGCGTCGGGCGTCATGGTAAGTAGTGGCTTGTTACTCGGCGAGATACCTAGCCACGGATGAATCTTGTTCTTTTTTTTTCTTTTTATGTTTTTGCATGTTAAACGTAGAAAAACTAACGATTGCAGAAAATTGCAGAAAAAACAATTTTAAAACTTAAAAAGATAGTTAAATGACCGTATTACATCAGCTAGATCATGCAGAATTTTCTTGTCTTTGTTGCTTTTTTACGGAGCTTTCTTCTCTACCGGAATATTGAACTTTTTCAAGTAAATGGCACCAGATCGCTAACCGATTATCGATTTTCAAATTGATCTTTTAGTCAAGGATTGTTCAATCAAAAAATTGCTACAAAAGTGAAATCTTCTCATCAAACGATTGCCAGATACCTTGAAAACCTGGCTCAATATGGAAAAAAGAAACAAACAAGCAAAAAAGCTATCAGAAAAAAGCTATAAGCTTTGACCAAAATCCCTGTCACATTGCTAACAGCCTTGATGGAAAATCGATATCTCAAGTCAGAAAAGAGCTAAACCTTGATGTTTTCAAAGTGACAATTGATGTGATACGGACTGTATACCGAATATAAGCCATATTCAAGGAAATTGTACCCTTCGGGAATAGGACGAGGTGTCAAATCGTTTGCGGCCGAATCAGGAATGCACAAAAGGAACTCGTGACCGGGACCGCACTCTATTTGGTGCATTTGCAAGATGAATCGTGCCTGGGAACATCGGTAAATATCAACATTGGCCCTGCTCCATGTATTTTCACGGAATTTTAAACTTTTTATGTCAGTCCTTGCACTCACCTCTTCTCTGGCTGCCTCGTTATCGGCGGTCATCGTGCCATGTGCGTTTGGAGGTAGACCTAGCAATGAAACAATAAAGTTTGAGGTTAAAATTCCTTGGTCACTTCTAAAATCTGGACATTCGCCGAGTACTTTGGTGAAAGCAAAACGAAAATCGTTGGCATCGAACTCGCCAAAAATCCCAATATAGATGTTGACTCTAGAAAAGTTTATTCATTTATTCATGCTTTAAAAATCAAAGTTTTTCTTGAGATCTCAATGCTAAATGGGGCCACGGTCAACCATACATTATGAAACTTTAATGATTTTTAAGGAAAACAAACATTTAACAATTATCTTTGATCATTTGAATCATTTGAATCATTTGAATCATTTGAAACAAAACAATCTTTGATCGGTTCACATTTCAAAGAATCGTGCCAATTTCATGCCAATTTCATGCCAATTTCATGCCAATTTCATGCCTATTCGACAAAATAGAGAACCAAAAAAACAAACCGAAACAGAAATCTTTTCACAAAAACCAATATTTCGAGTCATGCTCTTTTGAATATGAATACAGATGCAGAGAGATCTCAGGAATTCGGCCGATAAAGTGCAGCTCTATGGAAGCTGTAATGTTCCTGAGACGTGGATGGATGGAGAGCTGATTGAGAGCCAATTCAAGCTGTTCTCTGCTCTCATATTTTTCAAGCATTGCATCAATTGAAAGAAAAAGCTTGAATTAGAGAGATGGTCTTGTTGAATCGATAAGACTTTCTTGATTAGAGAAGAGAAAAGGACGAGAGATCAGGAAATCTTTTTACAAATCATTGTTTTTTTCTACACGATCTCTACCGCTTTTGAAACCTTGAAAGAAGCAAATTTTGAAGGTCAAAAGAAATAATATTAAATAAAATAATTCCCAGAGGGTAAATAGAGGTTTGAAAAATGAAAAAATATTTTCAATTTAACTTCTACAAGAATTCTACACCAATTCTTTGGATAAAGCTTTGTACAGAGAGCTGTATAAAGCTAGCGAGTGCTTTGCATATTTCAAATGAATTTAAATGAAAGACTCTTTCCCTCAATTGTGGTCTTTTGAAAGATTTGTGGTCTTTTGAAAGATTTGTGGTCTTTGAAAGATTTGTGGTCTTTTAAAAGTTTCGTGGTCTTTTAAAAGTTTCGTGGTCTTTTGAAAGATTTGTGGTTTTTAAAAGTTTCGTGGTCTTTTAAAGTTTCGTGGTCTCTCGTAAAATAAAAATTATTAGACAGAATTTTTTTGCTAATGAACTTTTTTTGAGAATCAGATCTCCAAACTTCAAGGTTCACTATCGAATCGAAAATTGTTATTTCGTCGTCGAATTTTTGGCTATTGATAATCAAGTCAATTTTAAATTTAACCTTCTGGAATACTAGCATATTTGCTAAATGTGCAAAAGAATTTCTAAATGCACAAGAATTTCTGGGAAGGAGTTTCTGAAGTTCAGCGACACTTTCGAGAAAGCTCAAGAAGAACAATAATCTCTCTGAACTTATAGATTTGTGCAGAAATTTTGTGCACGTTTAAAAACATGACAAAGTTTTACTTCATAAAGTGTATGATCAATTGGTACCATTGAAGATCGTTGGCAAACAACTTTGCAGATAAAACGCGGAGTCTGATCATTGGAATTGATAGAATGAATAGATTTTCATTCATATTCATATTCTCGAAAAATATTTTGTGCATAAATCAAAAAAAAATCAAAAGGGAACATGGTTGTAAATTCCCTTTATTCATTTTATATAAAACTCGGAAAACCCTGGAGAAAACTCTATGAATTTCGTTTTGGATTGATACTGTTGATGGTTTTGCTTCGAGTAAAGTGGGGTGAACGAGGAGAAATTTCGGTGTCGGAAGTAAGCGAATCGCAGCTCCGGCCATGAATCCCGGTCGTTTACAGACAAAGTACGGCACACCATAGCCATCAAACGTGCTGACTATATTCCAATTCCCCTCCTCAATCGGCCCACAAGCTGTACAGGTGGCGTCCCCGATCTGTGATGTTTTCAATGATTATGATTCAATAGATTCCTATCTTTTAACTTTACGATAATGTCATATCAATATTTTGCGACCAGAAAAGTCTTAGACCAGTTTGCTAACAACAAACAATTACCATTAAAATGTCCGAATCACGAGAATCCTCGCAGATCGTTTGCTCGTAATCGAGAGGCGTCCCATCAATCCATGTCATTTTTCCAGCAACCTAATTTTTACAACATTACAATAGCAATGAGCTTTATACGAAGCAATGATCATAGCAGTTTCAATGATCATAGCAGTTGCAATGATCATAGCATTGCAATGAACATAGCAGCTGCAATGAACATAGCACTTGCAATGAACATAGCACTTGCAATGATCATAGCACTTGCAATGATCATAGCACTTGCAATGATCATAGCAGTTGCAATCATAGTAGTCTTTTTTGAAAACGTCTAACCCTTTTGCCACCAGTCAGAAATGATCCCCCGTAGTCTCCAAAAGATCGTGTAGAGCAAGAAGTCGGGCAGCACATTGCTAAACAATCGTGCTTTTCTCGTTTCATCTACTCAATAACAGCGAAAAGCATTCGCTGTTATTGAGAAGACCTCACAAGGGAACCACATATACAGTCGACGCTCGATAGTAAAACATTGAAGGGATTCTACAAAAATGATCTACTATCGAGAGTTTTGCCTAATCAGTCCTAAAAACATAAAAAAAAAACACTGTGAATAAGCTGATAAATATGATTTTGTGGCTTTAAAGCGACGTTTAAATGCTGAAACACTAGTAAAATCCGAAATTTTTGTTTGTTTAGTGCGCAAGGATGCTCAAGTGCTCAAGGATGAAATTCTCAATCTTATGGAATCCGCAAATAGTCGACGTGTCGCTCGTATTTGCTTCGGTTAAAAATTGCTGAACAATAATAAAAGCTTTACAAGCTTCTTTCTGTGCAACTACTTTCTTCGAGACTTCGTTTTCTTCATAGAATGGGAACCAAATCTGTAGAGAAAAGGAGCCAAATCTGGAGAGAAAAGGAACCAATTCTGTAGAGAAAAGGAACCAATTCTGTAGAGAAAAAGAACCAAATCTGTAGAGAAAAGGAACCAATTCTGGACAGAAAAAGAACCAAATCTGTAGAGAAAAGGAGCCAAATCTGGAGAGAAAAGAACCAAATCTGGAGAGAAAAGAACCAAATCTGTAGAGAAAAGGAGCCAAATCTGGAGAGAAAAGAGGCCAAATCTGGAGAGAAAAGAACCAAATCTGGAGAGAAAAAGAACCAAATCTGTAGAGAAAAGGAGCCAAATCTGGAGAGAAAAGGAGCCAAATCTGGAGAGAAAAAGAACCAAATCTGGAGAGAAAAAGAACCAAATCTGTAGAGAAAAGGAACCAAATTTATATAGAATGAGAACCAAATCTGTAGAGAAAAGGAACCTCGCGAGTCGTGAGTGTTGGGTTGAAGTCAATTTCAATTCCCCAATGCGAAATTCAAACGGCGCACTATTTTTTTTTCCATTCCAATTCACCTAACCATTTTGGAATTATAATATTGTTTTGATCTACTTAATGCATATTTTTATCTGATCCAACCTACACTTGACCCAAAACTCTAGCCTAAACACATCTTAAACTTCATCTAAACACATGATTTAAGTCTAAACACGAGATTGCGTGCACAAAACGCGTGTGGATGCATAAAAGAATGGTACCATTGCTTGCTGTTTAACATTTGTAATTTTCAATTTTAATTGTTTTGTTTTTAGCATTTAATCAAAATCAAACCAAAAAAAGTTCGAACACAGACTCGAAACCGAGAGCATTCGCTTTGTAACTGCACGCACTGCCACTACACTACCCCGCAGTGAATCCATCGTGCTCACTAGCCGCAATATAGTTGCGGAGAGAAAAACCCCATTGTCTTACCAAATATTAGGGCTACTATAGCTACCATGATCTTGGAGCTTTGTAGCTGAATTTTTGTTATGTTGTTCCCCAGAATCGATTCTACCTACCCACCAATTTTGGGACCAAGTCCTATGGAGTTCCCTTGTGAGGGTGGATGTTGCAATACATTTTGAGATCCTTACTCCAAAGGAACTTTATTTTCCGCGTCACTATGGATGGAAGCAAGATGACCCCCTGGTTTTGACAATAAGCTACCCCCGCTGGTGTAGTTGAATTGTAGCCGACCTGGGGTGTCAGTATTTTATCATTTTGTAAGGATAGATCATAAGATAAATTGCTCATGGAAAACTATAGAATCAAAGAATTATGTTGTATATGTAGAATCAAAGAATAGAGAGAAATGAGCTTCGAAAAGATGCTATTCCTGCTAATGCTGTTTCTATAGAAATCTGGCGCTCGATCAGGTCAATTCTGCTTATTGGCCGGGCGCTTAACTTCAGAAAACCCACAAGATGGAGCTATCCGTGTTTGGGAAATATTGCCAGCCGTTGTAGCAAGTGTAGAGAAGTTTTGACGAGCCTTCAAGATAAATGTGTATAAAAGCTAAAAGTCACACTGACGATTTTTGGTAAGGAGAGGAGCGATAGTTGGTGGCATGTATGTGGAGTCGGAGTGGTCCGGTCGCTGGTGGTGTGGTGAGCCACGCGGTAGTTGTGCAGCCACCATTTATGATTTAAAGGATCTGCACCTGAGATGCTAAAGGTTTTGCTGAAGTTTTGCTGAAGAATAATGTAAATACATGAAGGGAAGAAGGTTCGAGCAGTCGACGGACGTCCACTTGGCCGTCCGCTTTTTTCAACACAAACCTGGTTCGGCAGGGTTCACCTAAATCAGATTGTAAAGTAACTTTTGAGGCGAAGGCCTCTTCTCAGATCCTTTTATTTTTAGGTCCAACGTTTTTGCTACTATAGTTTGCTACGATTTTCTCGTTCCGATTTTATTCTAATATGGTGCCAATAAGGTTCCAATACGGTTCCAATACGGTTCCAATACGGTTCCGGATTATGAGACAAATTAGGTTCTAATACGGTTCCAATACGGTTCCAATACGTTTTCAATAAGGTTCCAATACGGTTTCAATACAGTTCCGATTATGATGCAAATATGGTTCCAATACGGTTCCAATACGGTTCCAATACGGTTCCAATACGGTTCCAATAGATTCGTCCTATGATACAAATATGGTTCCAATCGGTTCCAATACGGTTCCAATACGGTTCCAATACGATTCCTATTATGATATTCCTTCTATTAGGTTGATGCAAAAGTCTTTTCATTTTTTCGTACTTTCGTTAAAAAGTAACAAATGCACCAATTGAACAACGGTTTTATTGCATTCGAAAGGCCAATTATTTTTCTGCAAAATGACATTAAAACGAGTTTAAAATGTCTTATGTCTAGATTTTTTGAGAGCCTGAAGTCGGGTAGTCAAAAAGGCGACGGCTCGATGATGCATTTTAGACGCTTTAGCTAAGGAAACCAATCTTGATGTTAATAAATAAAGATAGAGCACAAAAAGTTAGATATTTTTCAGATTTTCAGAGAAATTGATTCAGCCAATTTCTTTATAGAGGTTTTATAGATTTTTATGAAAAACCCGTTTTCACTCTCGAATTTGCTTGAAAGTGAACCCAAATTGACTTAACAAGATGGGAAATGGAACAATAAACACTTTTCATTTAGAGCAAACCATAGGTTAATTGATGACTTTGTTATTTTTCAAAGAAGTACGAAAAAAATGAAAAGACTTTGCATCAACCTAATAGTATTAAGTGAAGTCACTTGGTGACTCGCGCCGAAAACACACACTCGCTTTACTGCAACCATCGAATTTGGTGTTTCGAAACGGACCGGCATTCCAGTTGTCGCATCCCAGGGTGTTCCATCAGTCCACGTCCACGAGGTGCCGTTCTTTCGCCCACCAATGTAGAAATATCCCCTGCTGAAGTCTCTATAAAGCAATTTAGTTCTTTTGAATGTGCTAAAAAAAAACACACCTGCATAAGATACACCGTCAAAGAAACTATCCGTCACAAGATCATTGGATCCAGAAGAGATGTCCGTTGTAGGCCTGGCAATACTTATCGGCCAATGCGAAAGAGACCACTACAGATTTCAGTAAATTGGAAGAAAAACCGTAGACACACAATTATTGTCAGCAGCGCAGACACGATTGGACCTCATCAACATAGGTCGATCCGGGTGGGCAAGACAGAATAACATTTTTTCCTGGGTTAGGCATTTGTCTTGATATCCACAGAGATATGGCAGACACGAGGCACAGTCAACCGTTCTCCAAAATTTGTCGTTAGAATCCAAATAGACACAATCCCCATTGCCCAGCCCTCCTAGGAATCTATTTTCCTTGTTCATTTTCTTTCGATTACCATTTGCCCAGTTGGTGTAATTAGTGACGGTTCCATCCGTCCAAACGAATCCGCCGTTTACCCTCTGCAACCCCAGGTAGCCACGCTTTTAGCGTCAATCCTGTAAACATATTCATTAGAGGAGAAGAACGAATGAATCATTATGAATGTTAAATATGGATCGATGGGCCATATGTGGGCCGACCAGATAGCCCGACTCTCTGTCATCCCAACCCCAGCCAACTCGATCCGACTTTTATTCCGGTAAACCCAGTCCGCTGGAGCGACTGGGTCGGGTTGGGATGTATGACAATATAAATAGTAAATTCCTTTGTAAATTTCTATCTGTAATAAGTTAAGATTTCTCAATTGTGTCAATGAACCCACTTGTGAGCTGAATTCCAGTGATCATCGAGTTGATGAATGAATTTGGAATCGAGAGGAGATGGCCACCGAGTGCCTGGCAGTACATCTCAGCGTAACCCACATCGGAGCGACTGAACGGGAGACAATTTTTAGTGCCCAAAGATCAAAGCATACCATCATTCTCCGGTTGTATACAAGCTCCGTATTCATCCACATAGAAGGATCCGGGCGAGCAATCCGGCTCCTGAGCTAGCGCCCCAGCTGACAAAATTGCAAAGAAAGAGCCAGGCTCTCGGAAGACCACTAAGCTTACACAGGCGCTGTGTGCAAAAATGAACGAAATTCAGCCGTTTTAGAATCATTTCGCAATCAGCTAGCCATTCTAAATGAAATTTTTCTCTAGAAATTTACATCTTAAACATTTCATTCGTAAATGGCTGAATTTGATTCGTAAGCAGCCACGCATAAAGGAAAAAGTTTAACATTTTTAGAACTCCGTATGCAGGGAAAAAGTAGATGAAAGAAGTTCGTGCTTAAAAATTCGGTTTTTTTAAGAACGAGACTAAAGATCCTCCAAAGACAGTTCAAATTCAACGTTTTGTATCATAAAGTGAAAAATAGATGGCCTGTTATGTGCAGAATCCGACAAGGGAATGATCCGAACTGGCCGCACGATTTCGTTACGCCGTTAAGATGCAAACGTCTATCGACATAGAGAACACGTTGGCTTTTAAAGTGTTGAGCTACCCAGAAAACTTAGAAACGATAAAATAGTCACTAACTCGGCTTAGACCCAGTGCACTACTATTAGAGAAAATACGGTATATTTAGAGTT